CAAACTAGCAATTTTTAGGTTAGTGACTGAGCACAAACTGCACCATCACTTAGAACGAATATACAAAACCCACTGCCCTCAATTTGGATGTAACTCATAAGGACACTTCCTTGGGTTTCCAAGGTGGTATCACTACGGAAGTAGATTGACCAACCTTCCTTCTGAGGAGTGGCTGATGGGTTTGAACTGCCAGACTTCTGGTTAGCAATCAAGTGCCTTAAGCACTATGCTACCAGAGCTCCATAGAATGAATATAGTTAAGTGTTTGTATTTTCAAAATATCTCCTTCCTCTCATATGTTGAGAAATTGCAGGGTTTTTTGTTGTTGTTGTTTGTTTGTTTTTTGCAAGCCTTTGAGTTAAATGGGAAGTCATTGCTTTAACTACCTTTCAATTTAGTATTTAGAATCCACCATTACCAAAAACCAAACCCACTGCCACTGAGTTGATGACGACTCATAGCAACCCCCATAGGGTTTCCAAAGCTATAAATCTTTACAGGAGCGGACTGCCTCATTATCCTCTCACAGAGCAGCTAGAGGGTTTGAACAGCTGACCTTTGGGTTAGCAGCCCAAACTCACTGCCGTGGAGTCGATTCCGACTCATAGCGACCCCGTTGGGTTTCCAAGGCGGTAAATCTTTAAGGAAGTACATTGCCCCCATCTTCCTTCTGCAGAGCGGCTGGTGGGTTTGAACTGCCAGCCTTCTAGTTAGGAGTCAAATGTATTAGGCAGTGCGCCACCAGAGCTCCTTAATCCACTAGTAAGGAGACATGCAATAGAAAAGAAATGCCAAAAGGATGGTCTGAAGTATTAAAATAGAGGTACACGGGGAAAATGTTTTGTTTTATGCAAATTTCTCATCTCCGTGATCCATTCTATTCGAGTTTTGATCAAAGCCTTCCCAGCACTGAGACACGTGAGAAGACTGACTTGCGGAGATAAGGAGGAAATTACCCTCTCTCGTATGGGCCCTCTGTATTTTCTATGACCGCACAAGGTGGTGTGAAGAATTACTTGGAACTGATGAAACCTCAGGAGCGAAGAGGGGAAGGACGCAGTCTGGAGCTGCTCTTCCAGAGAACACCATCGCCCCCTAGGATGCATTTCGCAGCGGTTTGGTGACGCAACTCTGGCCAGTCCGCCACCAGGGAGTGAGAAGGAAGGGGCTGGATTCCTCCCAGTAGGAGCACTATCTAGACCAAAGAAGGAGGCTGGCGACAGGAAGGAAGCCTGGATCAAGCGTTTGAATAGCAGACACAGGGCAACTGAAGTCTGTGCAGTGTTAACGGGCGCGCGCCTCTCGCCGTTCCCCCACCCCCCAATACACCCCGCCGCCGTGTGTCACCTTCCTGTTCGGAAGTCTTAATAGGTTGCTGGAACAGAACAGGGGGCGCCTGCTCCACCCGTCAGGTATCCGGCTGGACGGAAAGCCAGTCTCAACAACTTGATTCTATCTCTGTTAAATGATAAGTTTAGCAGACCATGCGTCTCCGAATGCTGAACGTTAGGGTAGGGGAAGGAGAACACATCAGACGTTCCTTCTCGGTTCCGACCACAAATCATATGTTTGTGCCTCTTCTCCATTCCGCTTCGAGCCCTCTAACTTAAATTCCCCGTTCCTCCCGGAATGCACCCGGCAGAACTGCTTTGAGAAAATGAAGCCTGTGCATGTGTTTTGAATTTTTTCTGGACTGATTTGTGATGATAATCAGTCGAGTTACATTTCTTGTGTGTCTTGCTGAAGGTGTAATAAACCCAGGACGCTGATGACTGTAATTTTCTGGGTGATGTTGCAATGGGGGAGGGTAACTAAATGGCCGGGTGTTGAACTTTGCAGCTTGATCCTTTCCTGCATGTAATCACATATAAAGTGGGGTTCATAACAGGGACAGCAGCCTCCAGCTGGGGCTCCCTTGTTTCAGGGCTGCCAGCTTCATCAAAGGCCCAGAGCAGGGAGACTCCACACACACACCCTTAACAAACTCTACCTCAAACCTTCAAGATAGTAAGCCCCAACTCTCTTAGCCTGGGTGACCTGAAGAATGAAAACGGAGGCTATAAGATCCCCTTTGAGAGGTTTGTGTGCTTCTATTACTGTAATTTGGATGGGATGGCAAAGAAAAAATACTTCAGAGGATTTGAGGTTGCTTCACTTGAGGAAGCAAGATGCCCAGGAGCTGGGATATGGGGGAGGGTCTCTGATGCAAGGTCCCTTAGTTAAATATTTTTAAACAAAGCTTTATGTGCAAGTTGGTGTTGGGAGGGCAGTCTGAGCAAAATTTGGTCTGTTGAGAGGGAAGGAACCAGGTGAGGGGCTGGGCTGGGCTAATTGAATTGTGGAACAAGGAATGTGGGGGGCATTGGAAAGAACCAAGTCTATCACATAGTGTGTGTGTGTGTGTGGGGGGGGGAATCCCTGCAAGAGGAAGCAGAAATGGGCTGGTGACAGAAAATAGGAATTTCCAAAACCTTGCTTTGGGTTGGCACATCAGTTTCATGCAATAAGTTTTGTTTTTAAAGAGTGGGTGCTGAACAAGGTTTCCCAGCCAGTCTTCAGGCAAGAGGACCTGTGTTCCCCTTTCCCCGTTGGGGACTGTTGTAACTGAGCAAAGCAAGAAGGAGTAGAGGTTGGAGATGTATTAGGGCAAATGAGGTGGTGGTTGTTGCAGAGACAAACCTCTTCCCTTAAAATTCCTGGTTTGACTGTGGGTATTTTGGAGTGGGTACTAGGAGTCAAACCTAGTAGGTGACTCCTAAAAAGGCAGGGCCATTGGCAGTTAGGGGTCATAGCAGGGCAACCACCAAAGCCAGCACCAGCAAGCTCCAGGTGCCTGCGCCCAGCGAGTAACTTGTAGCTGTCTCCCTAGCTCCTGGCCGGCGCTGGGCTGGCGCGAGTTCCCGGGGCCGGCGGTCCCACTGCAGCTCCCAGCGGCGGGGTTGCGGGAAGGCACCGCTGTCGCTGGTCTGCAGAGCAGGGCGGCCGCCGCCAGCTTCCCTCCCTTCTCTGTTTTCTGGAGCGGAGTTACAGGTCTAATCTTTTATGAATCAACTAGTGCCAGTTTATAAGGGACTTGAGAGAAAGCAAGTGAATGGTAAAACTGTAAGAAGACTCCTGGGTCGGCCCTGAAATAAATCGAAGGAGGGGCAAGGGAGATAAAGACACACTACGGAATTTTAAGACAATGTAATGTGACCTTGTGGAGTTTCGGGGTGGGGGAGCGGGAGAGGAGGAGGCCCAGGGAGGGGAATCCAGCCCGGCTGCCGCGCTCCTCCGAGTGCCGAGCCTTGCAAGGCCCGCACCTCCGCGAGGTCACGCCAGGTCCCGTGAGTGAAGCCACCGCTCCCAAACTTGCCACTTCCTCACGTGTTCTTGGCATGGCGGAGATTAAAAATGCAAGGAAAAAAAAGTACATGCGGAACGGACAGAATGTTCTCAGAGATTACTTGAGGAAAAAAAAGTGAAATGCGGATTGTACTTTTTTCCCCTTTAGTGCAGACTCGAATTTTCTTCCCGCCCCCTCCTCTCCGCATTCCTGACCTCTCCCTCCCCCTTCCCTCTTTCTTTCCTTCCTTCCTCCTCTTCCAAGTTCTGGGATTTTTCAGCCTTGGCTTTGGCCAAAGGCACAAAAAGGCGTTTTCGGAAGCGACTCGGCCGTGCACAAGGGTCATTTGTTTGTTTTGGGACTTGGGGCAGGAAATCTCTCTCGGCCTGAGTCACGGCGGCTCCTTCAAGGAAGCGTCAGTACTGCCTTTCTCCCCGTAGCCCGCCGCGCGCCCAGAGGCCGTGCCCATGGGGGAGATGCAAGGCGCGCTGGCCCGGGCCCGGCTCGAGTCCCTGCTCCGGCCTCGCCACAAAAAGAGGGCCGAGGCGCAGAAAAGGAGCGAGTCCTTTTTGCTGAGCGGACTAGGTAAGCGCCGCGGCCGGCTCGCCGGGAACGCCCGCGCCGCCTCCCCACGAGGGGCTCGGCTCAGCTGGGGCGCGCGGGTCGGGCGAGAGGGGCTCACTTTTCTTGTTCTAGTTGTTGTTTGAGGGTGGAGAGGAGTGAGGCCGGGAGAAGGGGGGCGTGCACGGGCGGACCGCCGCGTGCCCCGGCCCCGTCCTGACCCCGGAGATAAGGGGCGCGGGCCGCCCTCCCGGGGCGCTGCCGCCT